GAGACATCTATGACTGATCAGGCGGATTTTGCTCACTTTACCTGTTTGTTTCTTATCTGCTGTTTGCACAAGCTGTACTTGTAACAGAAAAAAACTCCTTAAGAAAGAGCTGATCATGCAAGGGAAAAATCAGATGTTCTTTTAACTCGGTTGTTAAACAGCCATATCTCATCTTTAAGAACATTGTGTCATTTAAGCAAACATATTAGTCAAGAGAGCAGAAGTTGCCGTAACTGGGGAGAACCCTCTCCCACCCTGAATTTGTTCTGTATAAAAAACGTATATTGTAAGCCAGCCTTTGAGTCTCGCCTTATAGATCTCTTTAGTCTGAAGGCACGCCTCCTGTATGCATACAGTACATCATAATAAAGGCTTTGTCTTTATCTATCTCACAAGGGTGTCCTTACTGGAGGCACAAGGATAGTTAAAGGAAAAGATAAATTGATGAGGAAAGAAAAAGTTATCTAAAAGCAAGTGCAGGCTACAAGTAAAGGGAATTTTAACCTTTAGTGACATTTTCCGGGTCCTTACGTAAGCCTGAGGGATTAATCAACCGGGACAGGGCAGCGAGAAGGTGTGTATTCTTTTCAGATGCGCATGTCCATATTGAGGAGTGTGCTGCCTGTTTCTCCATTGATGGCCTACCTGTGAGGAACACCAGTGCAGTGTGCAGTTGTGTGGAAGCCAGACTAATTGCAAACATAAGTCCGCTTCACTGAGAGAGCTGTATGTTCGTTACGTGAAGCGACTTACAGTGGCTATCAAAAGTATTCACACTCCCCCCCCACTTTTTTACATTTTATTGTGTTTCACGATGGAAATGTTTGCCATTGATTGACAAAAAAAATACTCTATAAAGTGTCAAAGTGAAAACAAAATTCTACAGATCCTCCTAAATTAATTAAGAACCTAAAATGGAAATAACCGACTGCATAAGTGTTCACTCCCTTTGGGTCAATATTTGGTAGAGGCACGTTTGGCAGGAATTACAGCTATGAGTCTTCTTGGATACGTTTCTACCAGCTTTCCATGTATGGACACTGCAATTGGTGCCCATTTGTCTTTGCAAAATTGCTCAAACTCCCTCAGGGTGGATGGGAAAGGTTGGTGACCAGACGTTTTCAGTGCCTGCTACAGATTCTTGATAGGAGCGAGGTCAAGGCTTTGACTGGCCCACTCCAGAATATGGACATTTCTCTTTTTAAACCAATCCAGTGTGGCTTTGTATGTTTTGGGTCATTATCCTACTGGAAGATACTGGAATATCTTCTCTCAAGGCCCATGTCTCTTGCTGTTCATCCTTCAGGATTTCTCTGTGCTTTGCTGTATCCATTTTTTCTTCTATCTAGGTTGCTTCCCTGACTCGTGCTCTTCTTACCTGGACACTCAGTTTTCAAGGACACCCTTTTCTTCACAGTTTCACAGTGGTTCCATATTTTCTACATTTCTTCATAATGGACTTTACTGTGCTTTGGGGATACGTGATGCCTTGGAAATTTCGTTATACCCTTCCCCAGACTGGTGTTCTTCAATAGTCCTATCCCAGATTTATTTTGAAAGTTCCTTTGTCTTCATATAACATGTAGGTTTTGTTAGGAGCATGTCCGGCCATCTGTTCGTGACCTCAAGTTGAAGCGCACTTGGGTTCTGCAGCAGGACAATGATCCAAAACACATCAGCAAGTCCACCTCTGAATGTCTTAAGAAAAACAAAATGAAGACTTTGGAGTGGCCTAGTCAAAGTCCTGACCTGAATC